AGTAGTGAAGTGACTATCCCAAAGTCACTCAGCAGAGCTGGGACTATATCCCAGGTCTCCAGAGTCCCAAGCCAGTGCCCTAGCCACCACTACCGCCTCCCTAATCTCACTGGTTTAACTGGGAATTTTTAAGGAGAAAGATGCTGCCCAACGGGCTTGGCCCAATGCCCAGTAAGGTCAATGATTAACTGATCTCAGTGGTTATTGGATTAGGCAGAATTTAGCCCTCATTTTGTAGCACAGGTCTGATCATCCTCACTGTTTTTTGTTGAGTAAATGCTTTTGTTACTTTCATATGATGCAGTAAGCACCCTTTATTATGAATAGAGGGTAAGGGGGATATAGAAAGAGTCTGTTTTCTTGCACAGTGTCCCTGGCAATAAAGATCAATGGGAAAAGAAATGGCAAAAATATAGAACACAGCATAAGCAGGGTTCATTTTCTTTTACGGAGAATATATGACAAATGTATTCATGAAGTATCCGCAGGTCTATATAGTTAGGTTTCCTCTCTGCCTTAAAACCCCCTTGAGCTTGTACAGTCCTCCCTTTGATACCTTTCTTTTCATGAAAAGATCCGTTTTAATAAGAAAAGAAAAAAGAGGACAAGAAAATATGTGATACTCTACAAGGCAGCATTGTTTCTGAATGGAGCTTTCCATGAGGTGTCAGCAACTCTTTCAGTGACGTTAGCCTGCCTCACACTTACTCACATTGCTGTATCTGCGCCTCCACAAAAAGCCTTTCTGGAGTGAATTGATTCAGCACTGCAAAGGAACTGTCATGCAGTGAACAGAGTGCTCTGAAGCAAATCGTTCCACAGGAAAGTGAGGGAGGGATGAGAAGAGAGGAGAATATCAAGAAGGAGAAGTGGTTAACCTGTTTTGTTGTCTTTGATAGCACTTTATATGCTCAAAACACTACAGAGAGATACTAATTCTCATAACACGCCCATGGGTAGGAGGTAAATAGTATTACCTCATTTTACCAATGGGGAAGTTGAATTAGAAAGTCAAAGTGATTCAGTGTCAGATCTAGGAGTAGACTGAACAGAGGCATACGCTATGAAATGTTACTGTGTCCAAACAACAGTTGCCAAGATGATGCTGAACATGGTTTGTTCTGGTCTATCCAGAGCAGTGAACTGTGTTCATCACTGACTCACCTAATACAAGTGTGTTCAGACAGGGTAGTACTTAATAGTATAGACCAGGTCAAACAGAAAACACTCACATATCAGTTTTTGGGTTCCGGGCCTGGAAAGATAATTACTTTTATTGTTTGTGGTATACTCTGTAAAGAAATGCACTGTAAACTATAAAATGTGTTGATCACATGAGATTATCATACTGGTGTGCCATAAAATGGCGAGGATCTTGTATTTTTTTACAAAAGCCACAACCTTTTAGCAGAAGGTGAAATGCAGTTGAGAAGTTTGGTGTCTTGCTTCATCTTTCAGATTTCTAATCAAAACTCTAGTTGGATGTTTCCATGTTATCAAAATTCCAATGATGAATAAAGTTCAAAATGCAGATAGCTGCTTCTATTTGTTTGTAATTAAATTGCACCGATTAGCTACCCAGAGATAATCACTGAAGTAGGCTGTAGACATGTAGAAAGTTATGCCACTAGCCTATCACCACTGGAGAGACTGGTTCAAATGACAGAATAAGACACAAATTAAAATGAGCTTGATATTCTCATTTTCCACACTCCAAAACCACCATACTAACTGGCACCATTGGAAGCCTCTGTTCAGAAGAAGTGTAGAACTCTTCCAGGACAGGAGTGAGGTGCAGTGACAGAGCTGAGTGAGGGTCCAGAAGTAAAACAGCAGGGAGTGTTCCATGTCAGGCCTCAGGAGCCTTGCAGGAGGGAACTGGGAGAAGGCCGCACTGGAAGTGAAAGGAGTGTCATTGCCCAGGATTGAGGTGCATAGGCAGAGCTGGTGGTCGAGACACAAAGACTGGAATAGCAGGGTTGCAGTTCAAGAGAGATGCGCTGACAGAATTGCATGTAGGAAGCCCCTACAGCCTGTGCCATCACTGTGCTTGGCCTTAGCCTTGCTGGCTCTCCCTTACTTCCATGAGTCTGAATTATTTTTTGTTGAAAAAGAAAGGTTGTTGGGGAGCAGAGTTTATTTATCATTAGAGTTTACTATATAGCTCCATAGACACACTTGGTGTTTTCCTTATAAAACCCAGATTCCGTGCTCTGGAGCAGTGGTTTTCAACCTTTTTTCATTTGCAGACCCCTCAAAATTTTCAAATGGAAGTGCGGACCCCTTTGGAATCTTAAACACAGTCTGCGGCCCCCCCCAGGGGTTCACGGACCACAGGTGGAAAACCATAGTTCTATGGTAATGGCAACCTTTCGTGCACCCCTTAGACACAGTCTGTAGACCTCCCAGGGGTTTGTGGACCATAGATTGAAAAACACTGCTCTAGAGAGTACAATCTTGTTCCTCTAGGACACATACCTAACAGGTGTCCTCCTGCAGGAGGATACAGGTTTAACCTTTCTTGGGGAAAGAAGGATTTAAAGACTGGAACTTTGAGGACTAAACTAGGAAATGTTTTGGAATGCAGCATTCCCTAATGACATGGCTGTGTTCATAGAAAGCATTTTTGAGAAAGCACTACATCCACATACAAGAGTCATTCAATCCAATCACCATTGTTTAAGTGAATCAAAGATGAGATGCAAGCGAAGGGGGTCACATTAGATGGTCACTGAGGTCCCTTCTGGTCTTAGAGTCTATTAAACTATGAATGAAAGAGGGAGAGGAGGGGAGGCATGTTGGCTGGAAAAAGAAACAGGTGTTTAATAAATGAGGAAATGGTTGCTCTGTGGGAGAGGCTGACGGGAAATGCAAAGAAACATTACATAGTTTATAAATGTTGGGGGATATTCTTTGGTGTGTTTGTTACCATCTGTATTTGGGCAGAAGGCAGGGAAAGTCACTCGGGGGTGTTTCAAGGTCTTTCTCCTCTTTTTTAAAGTTCTAGATCTGTGTGATATTAGACCCCACCTCATCATAGAATCTCAGGATTGGAAGAGACCTCAGGAGGTCATCTAGTCCAACCTCCTGCTCAAAGCAGGACCAATCCCCAAGTTTTGCCCCAGATCCCTAAATGGCCCCCTCAAGGATTGAACTCACAACCCTGGGTTTAGCAGGCCAATGCTCAAACTACTGAGCTATCCCTCGCTCTCCTGTCATCCTCTGCATTCAACCACAAGAGCTACAGTTGACACGGGTGCGGCAGCTGGTAGTGGTCAGGGTTAAACTCTTGGGGTATGGGAACAGATTGTTTCCCCTGGGAGGACCTTCGGCTGTGGAATTCCTTCTCCCAGAGAGGAAGATGAGCCTGAGTCTCAGCATTTTTAGACCATGCTGCCCATCTCTTTGCATAGACCTTCTCCAAAGGGTGGAGCTACAGAAAACACCCACCTCAGTGACCCTACCCTAACCAATGACTACATTGGGGGAGGGGTGGAGCGTTTAGGTCCTCTTGCAGAGACAATTTGATGTGATTCTTCATTTTGTAAATGGCTCATCGTGCCAGCTAAGGGGTACATTACAAATGAAGAACAATTTGATATGGTGTCTTTCTGCTGTGCATACTGCTGTGTTCGATCAGCAGTATTTCACTCCTTTCAGGAGTCAACTATGTGCTCATCTGAAGCTCCAGAAGCTTGCTCTCAATTCTCCTCCTGACTCAGATTCAGTTCTGTATGTAACTTGATGCCCAGGCTTTCCTAGTAGCTGCTTTGAGAATCTGAATCTTTCATACCAGCAGAACAGAATTCACTACTCGTGACTTTTTTTTTAACCCTGGCAAAAGGGCTGCATATCATTTTTTTAAAAAGTAACCAACTAGGAGATTTGTAGTTATGCTTGCAAAGATTGGGGTAATCAGTCTCATAGAATAGTGTGTCAGGAAGGAAACGTCTTCCCATATGCAGCAGCATACAATCAGCCAGGTGCAATATAAGGAAGGGTGGTTCATCTTGCTCTGAAGCATAAGATTTTAACCACTGCCAGGGAATATGTACCAAAGATCTGATCAGATATGGCAAATTTTGTTTCTATGCACAGTGTGAAGCTTTCCTTTCTACATAACGCATTGTAACAAGTCAAACAATGAGTCATCTCATAAGGGGAAAAGGAAAGGAAGCTTTTATCTCCCCGTGGATGAGATAATCTGCTTGCCTATCTATCTAGGTATAAGCAGCTGCCTGAAAATTAAGCTGTTTTTTCTCCGTGGGAAGGAAGCCATTTTAAAATTGTATGTAAGACTGATATTTTAATCTCACCTATCCCAGGTCTCATCCTGAGTCCAATAAAATCAATGGCCAAACTCCCTTTGACTTCACTGGTAGTAAGATCAGGCACCAAGACCAAACTTAAGCCTGTCTATGCACAAAAGTTGTATTATATTTAAAGTGACACAACCCTGCTTGTAAGGGCACAGTTATATCAATACAAATGTGCTTATAGTAGTACAGTATGCAGTGTTTTTGTAGCCAGGTTGGTCCCAGGATATTAGAGAGACAAGGTGGGTGAGGTAATATCATTTATTGAACCAACTTATGTTGGTGAGAGAGACAAGCTTTTGAGCTCTTCAGTGTAGTTTATTTCTATGTAGGAAGGGGACTAAACTATAGTGTATCTAAACTAGGGGTTGTTCCAGTATAATTATATTCTTAAAAATCACACACACACACGAACCAACGTAACTGTATGTAGACGAGCTCAATCTCTATCCAGCCAGTTGAAAGCTGTGGTCTTGTGTCTTGTTTAGAGGCAGATACATGCTGATTCACACATGCTGAATCACAGTAAGGTATTGGGGCATGGATGTAACTTTGTATTGCTCCCCCAGACCAATCTCAGGCTTTGCATCCAAATGCAGTTAGTGATTCAGGAGTCCTTTCCCAGAACTGCTTGCCCTTTGTTCCAGTTTCTTAACATGACCACAGTGTTTCTATCTCCCACAGGCTTGCAGCCAGTTTACTGGAGCAGGGATGATGTGGCCCAGTGGCTCAAGTGGGCAGAGAAGGAGTTTTCCCTGAGGCCGATTGACAGCAACACTTTTGAGATGAATGGCAAAGCACTCCTGCTCCTGACCAAAGAGGACTTTCGATACAGGTCTCCTCATTCAGGTGAGGTTTATCTACACCAGGAAGGATGGAGCAGGAAAGAGACGGAAGCAGAGACAGACTCTGGGAAGGGAAGGAGGGAGGAAGAGAGCCATGAAAGGTGGGCTGCAGAGACAAGAAAAGACAGCCATAGTTGTTAGGGTGGGAAGGGAAAGACAAGGATAGCCATGCAGACTAGGCTGGGGGAAGAGTGAAACATCCAGTAAAATAAGAAAGGGTGAGGGAGCGAGTGATCCAAACGCCCTTGAACTTTGAGAGGGTTTAGATTCCAATCCAAACTGAGAGTGCCTGGCCCATCTCTAGTTAAAACCCTTTGCAAAACCCAGAGAAAGACTGCCTGGCCGCAGTTTAGAACATCCAACTCTGTCGTTTAAAGACTTCTCATTTCATAGACCCAACTATAGTAGGGAGTTAATCAACTGCTCCAGCCTCTTAAGAAGCCTGCATTAGCATTCTGCATCACGGTGGTTGACTCGGCTGATTGTGCTGCTAAAAGCTCCAGCAAAACTCATCCTTGGGGACCTTTCCTCTCTTTTACAGTCCCCGTGGGCTTCCAATTACCCTGCCCATATTCTCTCACACGCTGGAGTCCAGCCCCCGGCAAAGCACAGGCAGGTGTGTGAATCAATCCGCCTGTTGCCAAATAATTTAGTCATGTACTCACTCAGAAGATTTAGAAACATGTGTGTGTCACCTGCCTGTATTTATATTCCCTGCAGTCTGTCGCCTCCAGCATTATAATCCCACTGAACCTCCTTCCTCTCCTGTGCCAGGGTTGTTTAACTACATTTGAATGAATGGTTCTAAATAAAAGTTGTTAGCTTTCTTTTTATGACCATACAGGGTACCCCTGCTAAATAAAAAGGCTTGTAATTCAATCAGCTACCAGAGATGATCATACAGCTTGAACTGAGTGCCTGGAAAATAGCTGTTATCAGACTTCCAATGTAAAGACACAGGAATACAGATGGTGTCGCACTAACCAATCAAAATGTGAAGTAGTTCTGAAAGACGCTAACCTTGTGACACCCCGAAGGCACCTCCCTGTAATACCATCCTCATACAGGATCTGGACCATCTTTTTTTCATATAGGCCCCGATTCAGCAAAGCGCTTGAACACGTGCTTAAGTCCCATTGACTGTTTAAGAAATAAATAAATAAATAACTTGGGACAGGACAACTTTTCTGGTGTTTTGTATGTAGCACCCACTGTGCTGCATGCAACTCCCCAGCACTAGCTGTCTAGGAGAGACACCTCTCTTCTCCCTGCATGTACTGTTACTGCACTTGACGTCAGCTGGATTTAAGCATCTGTGGGCTGGAGACTGAGCATTCACAGAGGAGAATCCTGGGCTCTCGAATTCATTTCCTCACTGTGAATGGAGCTCCTACTTTGCTGAATGTGAGGCTTGATTTTACAGACTACTGATCTGTGAACTCAATTTAAAATTTTATTCTCATTTTTTTATGGTAGCTGTTGACAAACTTTTGAGAAAACATTCCATTCAGGCCTGCTAAATCTATGCCACATACAGCAATAACAAGCACAGAGGTCACCCTTAAAACTTTTGGATGACTATAGATTACTAAATAACAACATCTCAGTATTTGAAGTGTTTCCCAGATATTCCTGTATTTGAAGTATAGGGAAATGAATAATGCCATTTCTGCCCAAATGTTATTTAGTTAGCTAAGGGCTTGCAACACTCAAAAGTTGCACCCCTTTAACTATACTGGTAGGGGCATTTCAGTGAGGGGTGTGCTTTTTTTTTTTTAACCAAAACAGTTATACCATTATAACCCATTGTGTAGATACAGTTATAGCAGTATAAATGTGCTTATACCAATATAACTTATTCCCTTTCCCTAATGGGAATAGCTATACCAGGATATAAACCATTATACCAGTATAACCAATATATCCACACAAGGGCTTGTACTGTTTTGTAGGAAATCACATCCCTCATGAAATCCTTATATTGGTCCAAAAGCTGTGTGTGGACTAGGCCTAAGGCAAAGGTTGGGCAGTTTTTAAGGATGACCACTGTATTTTTCTGGAGTGATCCAGCACAATTTATGTGTGTGTCTCTGTCTTGCTTTGTAAAATACAAATTATGTGATAAAATCCCCCCTCTGGTCTCTCATTATGTATTAAATATGGATAAGGTGACAGGATTCTTGAGGCTTCATTTTTAATTAATTTTTCAGGCATCACAGACATTAAAAGTGCCCTAAAGTCACCCCTGACATAGTAAAGGCAGCCAAGACAGAGAAATAGAGCAAAAAGTCAGACTATGGAAATGAGGATGACTTAGGCTGAAATAGCTAGGAAATAAACAAAAAAGGTTTAGTATCTTTGACCGACAGGTTGAACCTTGGAGGTTTACCGTGGCAAGTGCTGAATATGAAATAGATTTACAGGTGTTATAGAAATAAGAAAAATAACAGTAATAGAAAATGCAAGGTCTCCTAAATGCTACTTTAACTAAGACAGTTAAAGCACCTATGAACATTAGTTAATATTTCAGGCAAAGTACCATTGTTGAATATTGTTCACTCCGGCATGTGAGGGCAGGAGATAGGCAAAGGGCTGCATGTGGTATTATTAGGATTAATCACACACACCCTGGGGCACTTAGAGTCACCTGCATTTTGGGCTTTCGTTAACTCTTTCTACTTAACTGCTTCATCATTGCCAGCTATAAAAGGCAAAAAGTACCTCCACTGTTGCCCAGATGTATTTATGTACAGTTGGAGGCGGGAGGGTCACTGAAAGGTGAAATATTCTCACAGTAAATTAATCACCACATAAACAATCAGTCTTCTGGCAACTGTAATATGTGTTCCTTTAAGGCCACCATATTGTTACCTGCGAACTCTAGCAGTGCTGGAAGTTATTCCCATGCCGTGCTGTTGGAATGGGAAAAGACTGCTGAAGCACTGCTAATAAATGAGTGCTAGCCCTGAGAGAGGTAGCTCTGTGTGAGCCTGGATTGACAGCCACGAGACAGTGGGAGTTAGGTGCCTCACTACCTTCACGGATCTCGACCTGACTGACCTGCTAAATTTGCCGTGGGGAGAATTGATCAACATTCCATTAGATTTCCATAGAATGTCATAATGGCACAGGAACATCACTGCCACAGCACACATACTGGTGTGGAGGAGCATCAGTGATGTCTTTTCAATGGAATGTATATCTTCTCCAGGATAAAACCTCATTATACAGTAAAACTTAAGGGAGGAAGTGTTGAATAATGGTTAAAGCAGAAGGCTCAGAGCCAGGAGCTCTGGGTGCTTATCATTGTTCTACCATGGACCTGCTATATAAGCTTTGGCTGGGTGACTTAAACATTCTATGCCCTTGTTTGCCCAGCTGCCAAACTGGGACAATAATAAGAGGAGGTGTGAGACTTAATTAACTAATGTTTGTAAAGTGTTTTGAGATCCTCAGATGGGAGGTGATGTGGAAGTACAAAATCTATCTACCAGACTATTTAGTGCAACTGGACTGAGGTTTATATTGCTCCCCCCACTTTTCACTACTGTTGCCTCTGCGTGACATGTACAACTTTTGGACTGCCAAGAAGGAGTCTTACTTAGGAGTGAGAAAGATGCAAGTTCTTCTTGCAGGCACTTTTGGATCTGAAAATGGCACCCACGAGCTTTGAATTCATGCATCCAATGGCCAAATGAGTCTTCTCCAAGAGTCTGTAAGTTTTCATTTCCTTTAGCCGCCCGTTTGTCTTTCAGGTGACGTGCTGTATGAACTCCTTCAGCATATCCTGAAGCAAAGGAAAGCTCGCATGCTATTTTCACCTTTCTTCCACCCTGGGAACTCTATCCATGCTCAGCCAGAGGTCATATTACACCAGAACCACGATGAAGGTAATAATGTCTCCTTTATTACTGGAGGTGTCATTATGTCAGCAGTTTGGATGAGGCTGTCAGAAGGTTTTTTCTTACTCTAAACCAATACAAATTTCATTTTAAAACAATCTCTCTCCCTTCAGAAGTGGAACAGTCCTTTAGTTGTTAGAATGTTCAGCTGATCCACCAAGCCATTTGGTTGCAAATTCTTAGTGCTTTAGAATATTTCAGCCTTTTGCTTGTGTAAATCTCCATTTATTTTCCACTATTTTGTCCTGCTTCAAAGCCTGTTTAAAAATATACTAGGTGGGGATAACTTTTCTGGAGCTTATATATAGAACCCACTCTGTTGCACAGATCTTTCCTCTCCCAGGTCCTAGTTTTCTCGGAAAGAAAACTCCCTTCTCACCTTATTTACTCTTACTGCACTTGTGATCGGCTGGCTCTAAATTGGGGACTGGAGACTTTGACTTTGGAATTCACTTCCTCTGGTGGATCTAGAGACATTTGACATGTATGGCAAGGTGCTAGGCCCATTTTTTTGCTCAACTTTTGCCTTAACTGTAAGATTGGTAATTATTTTGTTTTCAGGGAAAGGCTGTTCTTCTTTTTATTTATATATATATATAAAGAAGAAACAAAATAATTACCAACATATCTATGCGTGTGTGTGTGTGTGTGTTTCTCTTTCAAATATTGCACCTGCGCCATGTGTTTTGTAATTAAGCACATTTTATAAATTAACAAATAAATAACTATCCTGACCATTAGATCTTAGATAGTGGCAGGATCAGAGGCCTGCCATAAGCACTGATATCTTTTTTTTATTGGAAAATCCAAACTTCTGAGATTGAATTGAAATTTCGACACATTGTCACTGTGATCAACACTAGATAGATAAGACAGACACATATATAGTTGAGGAGGTGAAAGAAACATTTGTAGAACTGTTGCTTAAATTTAGTTTGTTTTACTGTTGGGATAAAATCTGGAAGCAATATAGACAAATTCACCAGTCTGTTTGCAGATATCTCCCCAATGTGCAAAACAAGTGGTGCTTTTTTGAATGGATTTGCTTTTATGGCATGGCAGATATTGGGCACTTTTCCTCTTTATTAGAGCTGGTCAGAAAATATTTGGATTTTTTTATGATATTTTTCAGATTTGGGTGTTTTTTTTTCTGACAAAAAATATTTTTTTGGAAGAAAACACTTTCCAGGACAATTTTTGTTTAGTTGAAAACCCAATTTTCCATCCCAAAAAAGTTTTTACAGAAAATTTTTAACTAGCCGTTCTCTCTATCTCCCATCCTTAATCACAAATAAAAAACAGTTTGGATTTCACCCTAGTCCCCGCTTATCCTAGAAGTGCACAATTTGGCAACATTCAGATGAGGTATGATGCAGGGCAGGATTAAGAGGCATTGGCAGAGCTCTGTGGGGAGCCCAGGACTGATATAACTGGAGGCACAGTAGCGCATGGCTGAGGGGCATTGGCAAAGCTGTATGAGAATGTCAGGACTGGAATAACAAGAAGGTGATGCAAGTCAGGAGTAGGTTGCACTGGCAGAGCTGAATATAGGAAATTTACAAAGTTCCTGCCCAGTATACCTGGCTTTAGGCAGAGGCTGTTATTAATCTCTCACTTTCATGAGCCCTGTATTCACACACAAGGGTTTGTTGTTTTTTTAATGGAAAACTGGGAATGGGCCAGGTGAACCCTTTGTGAAATGTGTGTGGGTTTGAACATTTTGTACTTTAGCACTCAGTTCCTTTGGGCAAAATCTCTTAGGCTGGGGTAGCTAAGGCACAGGTATAAGAAGAGTATAGTTATGATTTAAAGCCTATCCAAAGATTTAAAGGCTATAGATTTAACAATCTGGTAGAATGGTTCCCACACCAAGTGTCCTTTACTGCACACAACTCTGTCATCAATGGGATCACTTTTCCACTTGATCACTGTACATAAGTCCCATTAACCGTAAGGACCAACTCCCATTGACTTCTATGGAAGCAGGAATAAGACCCAAAGTGCCTCAGCATCTACAAGAAAACTAACCATCTTTATATGTCCAGTATCAGCCAGGTTCTAATGGAAACACTAATAGCCCTTACAGCTGCCTAAACATCTCAACTAGCCAAAGGAGAGAATGGTAGATCAGAATGACGATCCTGAGCTAGTGAGCACCTGGTTTCAATCCTGAGCTACAGAAGATTTCACAGTGTTGTTTGACTAGGCGTTCACTTGCATCATTTGCTAACCAAATCTGATTGCTTCCTTTAAGTCCTCTCTCTTAAGGCAATTTGTAGCCCTATTTTACTTGGTCCTTAGAGCACTCAGTGCTGTGACACTGGTTCCTTTCTTCATACTCATTCCCAACCACTACAATTAGCTTCATTTTATTATTTTTATTTTGATACAAATGGAAGAGCATTTTGTTTTAATTATGGACTCCCAGACACTTACTCTGGGCAGTGAGAGAAGCTCTTTATGCCAAGCATTCACAGGCAGATAATGAGCATACTTTGACTCTCTTGCTGTGCCCTCTTCGTTGTCTCATGTCACTGCGTGAGGAACTTGCCCAGCTAAGTATAACACTTTGCTGCCTTCCTGCATGTACTCTCTTTTTCTATTGTGCTGTGTTCTCTATTGGGTATTCTCCCCAGCTTAACTCACAATGACCAATGGAGAGGGGCCAGTAGAGTCCTTGGCATGTTACCGTCCTCAAACTTGATTTTCTTTAAGGCTAGTTTTGCAGATATCAAATTGATTTTTGTATCCCTCCCTGATGAGGTCTCTCTCATTCTCTTTCCCTCTGCAATCTCCCTCTCTCTATTTATCTGTCCACCTGAGTCTGGAGTTGCTCCTAAGGATCACCATCATTTTAACATCTGTTTTGAAACCAATCCAACCAAAATCATTTGTGGCCAAGAGGTGCTACAGCCTCATGGCTCTTCACAGCCTATGCAAAGTGAGTTTAATGGTCAGTTCCCAGTTTGTTCCGCTCCCGGTGTGCAAGTGTTCATATCTCTTTAAAAAATGCCACCACACCCGGCATTGGTTTGGAAACACCTTTTGGCAGTCTTTTGTGGAGATGCTAAGGGCTGAATGAGCCATGGGGACTGAATTAGCCCATCATCTCTAGTGGTCCCTCTGAATCAGCATTGAATGACTTGGGAGGCTGCGGAGGAAGCTTGCATTGTTGCTGCCTGCACTTGTTCGGTAGAGAAACAGATGGTTTCAGTCACCAGGACTGTCAGTCCAGCAACTTTCCACTCACCCATCCCTACAGGAACAGCTGGGCCAGCAACTCTCCACAGCATTCGGTTCACTTTTAAAAAGCTACATGGAAAGGATGGTCTGAGGGTGCATTCCAACACAGACAGATGTGTTCACGTGTTCTTTCTGGCACAAGCTGGTGCAGTGCATGCAAAGGGATGTTTAATTTATTAGGGCCAGATTCTGATTCTCTTACACACAGTGAGAAGCACCTTACCCCATTTGGTTTCATTCATTACAGTGGATGTGCTCGCAGAGTAAAGTATCTTATTCAGTAAGGACATCCGAAGCTGACCATCAGTGTGTTTTAACTGTATCAGTTTCCAAATTAAGAGGATGAAGAAGGGAATTTAATTCAAAGTGATCCCTTTTCTGATCCTGCTACATTTGACAGAGGAGTTGAGAGGGAGTCCTCTGAGATCTATTGCTCTTCACTGAAGGATCCTTATTGCAGCATCCTGGCCCCTGGCGAAGGGGAGGGATGAAGGTACCCCTCTCTGGAGCCCATCAGTGTTGCATAAAGTTTCCACCAGAGATTTCAGTAGACAGCAGCATAAGGCATTCCTTCCTGCTCATGGGCTGAGTTCAGTCCCTCTCCAGCTCAGTATTCAGACTCAGTTCCCATACAGAAGCACGGCACTGCTACTGGACATCAGAATAAACGCCATGCAATGTCCCTAGTTGCTCTCTCATTTCTCAAGCATCTTTGCTCATATAGGCCAAGAATGAGCATAATGCTTTTGAATGAATATGTGGCAGTTTAACTGGGCAGCCCGTAGAAAACAGGTCACTGTATATGACATGGGCCAGGTATGGGGGAAGCAGTTGTAATCAAATGGGGTTTCCTTGGATTGTGGTTAATGAATGTTAGGTCCCATCTATGCTCACTGAACATTCTTCCTTAAGCACAGTTTAAACTGCAGTCACTAGGCAGGATCATAGACCAGGCTGTGGTTTTTGAGCAATGTTTGAGCAATGTGGTCCTTTCCATATCAACTGGCCAAACTCAAAACCATCTTTGGCCACAATATACTTTAAACCCATTTTGAAGCCCCATTATTAAACTTTGTTTTTCATCCAGAGCATAGCCTAGATCCGTAAGTTTCATTTCCTCCTGTCATTTCGTTGTTACTAACCTAACTAGCTACACAAATACATTTTTCTTGTTTATGACCTCAGGTGTGTGAATCATAACTAAACTCCGGGCAGGCATAGCTTCCTCCTAGGCCTTCACAAGGAAACTGGTGGCTGCTGGCAAATCATGTAGGTGCCCATTTCGGGGGGCAGAGGAGTCAGTTTAAGGTCACTGAGCCAGTGCTGACTGGAATTGCATCTTCCCAGCAATACTATGTTTAGGCTTTTGCATGGGTCGGTGCTGATCCCTCTACTGCAGCTTGTGTGGTTTCCAGGGTAGGCAAGGACCCCATAGATTCCTTTCTGCCTAAATAGGGTCTTCAAAGGGCAGTGCTCCCTTGACAGGAGAGAGCAAGGAGAACAAGCCTTCGTACAGGAGCAGAGTGAATGAATGAACAAATAAGACAGTCACATTTACCTATTTTGATTGTTGACATGTGCCTAACAGTTTCCTGCTCTTATCACCTGAGGCTATTGGCAAACAGGGCTGAAATTTGAGCTTTGTTTTTCTAGATAAAAACCTGTTAGCCTTTGCTCTCTGTTGTATGCGGGGCAGTTGTAGCCCTGTTGATCCCAGGATATTAGAGAGACAAGGTGGGTGAGGTAATATCTTTTACTGGACCAACTTCTGTTGCTGAGAGAGACGAGCTGTGTAAGCTTGAAAGCTCACCAACAGAAGCTGGTCCAGTAAAAGATATTACCTCACCCACCTTGTTTGCTCTCTGTTGGTAGCTTTCTACTCAGAAAACTATGGCCTTAATCAGCCAAAATCAGTTTATTTTCTATTAATTGAAGCAAATGTTTTGGTTTGTGGATGTTAACAACCCTTGCAGATGGTATTCTAAATCCATGCTTTCTGAGCTCTCCTTAATGTAAAGGGACACTACTAATGTCAAAAGGCCCACCCAAAAAGTCCATACTGTTTTTTCCAGTATCAGACACTCTAAAAGGTTTTCATCTGGAATGATGGAACAAGAGAAAAATCTTGATGAAGACACTTCTAGAAGGTTTATAAGTGGTGATGGGGTGAAATTTAGGCTATCAGGCAAAACTTCCTCCCACTGAAGTGTTAGGCTGTGATATTCACAAGGTGATCTAACAGGGTTTTTTCCCCCCATCTCTGATTTCTACAACTCTCTAACTAATGTATCCAGTACTCGTCCCATGTCTTGAGCCACTCTGCTGCTGGCTCTGGTCTTCAATTTTCAGTTACAGGGTCTGCAAGCAGAGCAACAGGAAAGTCAAAACATGCATCCAGATCTTTGTAACATATGCACAGCAACAAAGCTGTTAGGCCTAACAAAAACACGTCCCCCATTAAGCTGCCATGTATGAAGTTTCTCTTGTCACCCTCTCTGATTTCCTACTATTAACGGAGTGCTTCCCACCTACGTGGCTTTGACGCTCACACTATTAAATTATTGTAGGAAAGCCAGGTTATGTTGACTTAGGACAAATTTATGTTCAGTTTTGAAGGTAGCACAAAGGGAAATGAATAATAACAACGTGTACTTTTTAGCACCTTTCATCAAGGGATCTTAAAATGCTTTTCAAACAATAATTGTAATTCTTTTTAAAGGTGATGGGACTGAGGTTCTGGGAATACAGACCACTTGTCCAAGGTCACACAGGAAACTCTTTGGAGAGTTGGTAATAGAACAGAGATGTCCTAACCACCAATTTCCTACTCTCATAGACAACACTCCCTCCCTCTTAGGTATAATGAAGACTATGTTAAAATGTGTCAATGAGTTTGTAGATTCACAGAGGTGTAGTCCATCTAGTATGACCTCCTGTATATCACAGGCCATTAAATTTCACTCCGTCACCCCTGTATTACGCCCAGTAACTTGTGTTAGAGCATATTTTCCAGAAAGCCATTGAGTCTTGAGTTAGGTCCTGTGGTTCTGTCACGTTCATCATGATCTATGGTTTTCATCTTTTCTCCCTAGACAACTTTGTCCAGAGACCTTCAAGACCATCAGCAGAAACAGTCCATCACAACCCCCCCACCATTGAACTGTTGCATCGTTCTAGATCGCCTATCACCACCAATCACCGGCCGTCACCAGACCCTGAGCAGCGGTCGCTGAAGTCCCCATTGGACAACACTATCCGCCGCCTCTCCCCAGCTGATAGAGTCCCAGGGACAAGGCATCACCAAGAGAACAACCATCAAGAGCCCTACCCTCTCTCAGTGTCTCCTATAGAGAACAACCACTGCCCGCCTCCTCCTGAAGTACTTCAGAAGCCTTCCAGCCCCCGCCAAGAGAACACCAGGGTCATCCAGCTGATGCCCAGCCCCATCATGCACCCTTTGATACTAAACCCCAGGCACTCTGTAGAATTCAAACCATCACGGTTGTCTGAGGATGGGCTACACAGGGAGGTAAAGCCTATCAATTTGTCCCACCGGGAAGAGTTAGCATACATGAACCACATCATGGTGTCTGTCTCCCCTCCTGAGGAGCATGCAATGCCAATTGGAAGGATAGCAGGTAAGTAATATTCTCCAGCCATGTACAAGCCCATGGTCTTCATTCAGCATCTGCCACACACTAATCTAATGAACCATGTAATATCATTAGGAAGAACCTTCTGAGCTTCCTTTGGGCTTTTATAATATTACAGAAGGATACAGGCAGCTTGTAAGCTTCACAACTTCCATTGCAGAGGCTGGTAAGTATTACTGAAACCAGTTACACAGGTAGGTAAGCAGAGGTGCAGAGTCACTTGCTCAAGATCACATAGCAAGTAATCAGTGGCAGAACTAGGATTAGAATGCTGGAGTCCTGCCTCCCAGTCCCCAGCTCTGCCCACTCCCAATTAGTTTTAAGATTAAACTCTTTGAAATAGAGCTTGCCCTAATGGAGTAGTTAATGGGCCTCTGAATGGTGAGAAACAAATGTTCTAAATTGGCGCAGGGAGAGGAAAGCCCCATCAGCAGTGCAGCAAAGTTAGAATGTCTGAAATAGAAGGTTTTATGATAATGTTAATGACCCATTCCGCAGTTTCCACAAGTCAATCAATGACTGGACAGCACTTTATGAGCCTTTGGTTTTGTCTCAGACCCTTAACTCCTTTTGCCAGACATTTACTGACCAGTAAAAACCTCAGAATGGCTCATAATTACTGACGTAATGCCTTCACTATGGGGGAGGTGGGTAAGGGAAGAACGTTCATCTCCAAATTCTACAGTTGGCACTGCTCTATTATCTGACAAAAGGAACAGTCAGCAGCCTCTGTGACGCTTAACCCAGATTTACTTACCTGGCAATAAAACCAATAATCAATGCAATAGATTAAGCTAGTATAAACAGAACCACCCCCTATCATTCCCCTCCAAGACAGTACTCCACTAGACATCCAGCTCTTTCCTCAGAGCCTCTTGGGAAGGCTACCACTTTCATGGGCAAAATTTTTAAGGAATATTGCTTGTGGAACATAGAAGAGATGGTCAGGATTGTCCCACTCACAATGGGGTTTGATCCTGCAAAATACTGAAGAACTTCTGGAAGGTGACTTGAGTGGGAATTGGAGGCACTCTGCATCATCTAGGGAGTGCTGAGCGTGTTGTAGGATCAGGCCCAATCTTGAGAGGTGGTCACTCTGGCTCTCCTCAGAGAGAGCTACTTTGTAGGCCTCTTTGCTGTACCTCATTACTAGCACTGTCCCTTTTTACAGATTCAAATTTACCTCCATCCCACACAAACCTCAGGCATTGTCTCACTTTTGTTATCGTAAATAATTGACATCACATCTGCTGAATCAGGAAACTGAGGTTACAGAAAATGTTTTTTGTGCATAAAAGAGAACTGTAAATAGATCAGGGTGGGGGGAAATCCAACCGCTTTAGAAATATATGCTGAATGCCCCAAATAACCAAGTGAAGAGGACATTCCACACATTTATGCTAACAAAACTTACTTCAGAAAATAAATGTCAGATTTGCAATGTCTAGGCCCAGTCAGGGGCACAGACTTGTATTTGGTCTCAGACCTCCAAGTTGTCCCTCATTTTAAGGCCTCACTCAGTCCTAAAGTTCCTTGCAACAGATCTGGGGGCCTCTTCACTTTTATTGTTAATAATTATTTACCTCAGAAACAAGGAATCATTTAATTTTAAGGTCAAAAGGTACCATTATGATAATCTAATCTAGTACATAACGCAGACTCTCACCGTGTTGAAAGAGAAGTTGTAGAGTCATTTACATTACAGGAATGAATCCCACCGTATTTTACGTTTCCTGCCTGAATGACTTTCTGATATGTCTTCTTTTGGGTGTCATCATATATTGGGTCTCACATATGGCCTGTAGCAAGTTGACAGGTACACTTGGTGTAATGTCAGAGCAGGCACTCTGCTGGGGACATTATCTTAGCACTCTACCTTCCTGGAGACTTCAGGCTGTGCAATGGGGTGAGGGAAATCTTAAGGTTTGGGTTGGGTTTGTTTGTTTAAATAGTGTGCATTCTCTAAAATAGTTTTTAAGTTCTAAAATAAGATACAGTAAAACTTTAGAAAACTCTGTAATGTTTTAAAATAAAACAAAATTCCCCATACTACAGTCAGCCAACTCCGGTCTCATATAGGTTCTGTGATGGGTGTGATATCTCCAAAAGAAACCATGTTGGGCATTGCAACAATCGTCAGCACTGGTGTTGTGTATTTTGCTCTTTACCGAATAAAGGAACTACGGGGTACAATGAGGTCCAAATAACCATGTTTATGATTATATACAACATGCAAGGCCTAGCTATGTATCTACTGTGATGCTCTGGCAGAGTTTGGATAGTTTCTGAAACACAGTGAGGGCCACTGCAGGATTCACAAACTCTTTACAGTGGATACTTCTGAATTCCTGTTTACCACAGCCAGATACTACTCAGTGCAAAAGCACAAATGGCCTGAGATTATGCCTATGGAAGGCAAAGGAAGTAAATTTCACTATTAACTTTAATGAGAGCGTCACTGGGCCCCTAAGCAGGAAAATGTTCTTGTAATAATGTGCTCCTTCTACCTGTCTGGAGTACTTGATATAAAGTCTTTTAATTTTGAACGCAATCTGTTTCTATGTCACGATTAACCCCTTACGTCAAGATTAACCCCTTAACGGTTTGAGTTTCCCTCTCTTCGTAATACTACTAGTGTCAGGTTAGATGCTTGGTATTTTGAGAGATATGCTGCTTTGACTTAACAAAAGAACATTGAGAATTATAATAATAATATCACCTAACTTTTATATGGCACTCTTCTTCACTAGATTGCAAAGCACTTTACAGAGGAGGTTGATATCTATTTGATTCTATATAGTTTTTTTTACTACGCTCATCACCATAGTATCTGAGCACCTTTCTACAGATGAGGAAACTGAGGCAAAGAAAGGTGGAGTGACTTACCCAAGGCCACCAGCAGGCTTAGTAGCAGAGCTGGGAATAAAACCATGGGTCCCAATGCAGTGCCTTATCCGCTAGGCCACAATGCCTTCCCAGTATATACTCCCGAAAGCAACACAGAGGAACTAAAAATACTCCAGAAAGCCATCCTAAATCCTTAGTGTTGTGAATAAGTTAGTGAACAAAGGCGAGTCTTCTCAACTGTTCACAAATAGATAAGGGCCTTTTCACTGCATAACATGAAAAAAGGGCAAACAGAATCAGAAGGGGTAGAGTTGACCCATGGTGACTGTCTAGGCAAACATGGCATTTTTGCCTGGAGAAATGGATTTTGCAGGTGATCATTGTGTCCCTGTATGCACAGGTGGAAGAATCCATTACCCCGCATGTAGGTGCTAGTGCAGAAAAAATGTCTGTGCAGGTGTGAGCATGCTCTGTGCCCACAAGTGGCGGCTGGAAGTCTGCAAATGAGTCTGTTAAAATAGAGACCTCTCTAAAAAAACATCATCCCTAAAATAGAAACATTTAAATTTTAAAATATCAGAGGCCAAATTCTATCCTGGCTTACATCCTCCCACTACTGTGAGGTTGCGAAAGGTGGGAATCAGAGCAGAATTTGGCCCTAAACCCTCCTCATTTAAAATTTAACACCCCCTCTTCCCCAAAAAAGGAAAAACCTACACACAATTATTTGTTGCTGAAACTACACACAGTTATTTGTTGTTGCGCCTATGGGAGACACAATGGCTATGATGGGAGCATGGGACACTGCAGGGTAAAATCCTGGCACTCTTGAAGTCAATGGGACTTGTGTTATTAACATCAACACCAAGATTTTACCCCCAGTACCTACTAAATTAGTGCACAGCATGAACTATCTGCATCTGCCCAGGGCCTGCTCAACTGGCTGGTGCAGATGAACATAAGAATGGCCATACTGGACTAGACCAGTGGTCTATGTGTGGCTAGAATCAGATACTTAAGAGGAAGATGCAAGAAACCTTGCAATATAAATTGTGTAATAATTGGCCCACAGGGTCAATTAGAGGTTGGCTTATGCCCTGAAACATCCCTCATGGTTCATGTGGATGTGCCTATTATCTGTATAAATGTCCATTGCCGCTCCCGAACCCCTTTGGGGAGCCTTGAGTTACTGCAGAGCACCTTTGAGCAGTCCATGAGCACCCAGTGTTGTTGTTTTGGGGAGTGGCTGTGTTTTGCTATAGCAGCTCTTCAGGGAAGAAAAGTTAGTTATTTAATCCATAGCACAAACCCCACCACATGAAGTTCACTCTTACCTCTGGGCTTGAAATTTTGGAAGGAGGTGGTGACATCCCTTTACCATAGTTTTTCCACAGCTCCTCTGTAGTATAACTGAGAATTAGGAAGTATCATTTCTATGAGAGGGGGTGTGTGATCGAGGGTATCAGGAAGCAGTCTTATAAACTATAATTAGATGTTTTTGGACCATCATCATGGACCCAACAACTTGCTGTAGCTTTGGCCACCCCGGGAACTTCATGATAAACTCTGGACTGTGGAAGGCTGCCTGACCGTATACAGCAAGAGAGGTACATCGATTTGTGCAGAAAGTTTAGAAGCTCCAAACCATGCTGTGTATTGATATTCAAGCTCTGAGTGGGGTGGGCTTCAGCGTCCGAGCTGCAACTTCAAAGCGTTGTCTACAAAGTTATTTTTAGAGCACTAGTGTGAGCCCTGCTAGCACAAGTTTGTCCATCCAGGCAGGGAGACCTGCTCCCGTTTGGTCCAAAATGCTGTGTAGACATACACTATTGGCATGCAGTACCTTAGCAACTGGGCTCTATTTAGTTTCATGGACTGATTAGTGTGTTTCTCCCTTTCCAGGAGTCTGAGGACAAGCAGTGTTATGTGTAAGCTGCTGAGAGGCACGTCTTCCACCACAGCAGTGTGTTAGATCACTGCAACTGAATAGTGTAGTAATTCTTTTATAATAGCTGCCAGGATCTATACTCTGCCAAAGCCATGAGAGTGGGTTCTACTCCCAGCTGTGATTTGTAATCTCTGCCTCAGTTTCCTCATCTGTAAAATGAGGATAATGCTTATCTCACAGAGTTGGTGGA